GTATTACTTTTGTTTCCATTATTATACTCTCTTAATTTCTATGAGTCTACCCGTCTACTAGAAAATGAGTAAAACATCTCTTGAAGCAAGGGAAAAATTTATTTTCATAAAAAAAAAAAAATGGAATAATTTATCCATAAAAAAAAATGTCACTCACAGAAATTTAGAGATATGGTTTTCAATTTTTAATTTTCTTCATGCAAGTGCTACACAGCTACGATGATTATTATTCTCAGTAGTTATTGACATACATGTTTTTTCGGGTAAAAATATAAATTCCTATTCACTTTTTGCTGAACGAATCTTAGTAAAATAACATGTTTTTTTTTTTTTAATACTAAATATACATAGGAAGTAGCTTAGCGAAAAGTTTAACATGGAAAACTTTAGATTCTTATTTTATCCCCTATACATATTATTTATATTTTAAATACAATCTTTTTCTCTTTCTTTCATGTCTGTTTATCGATAATTTTGGACAAACCTGATCGCTTGAGATGGATTTTAACTTTATCTACCAGAATTTTTGCTTATACATTCGATACATAACTTTAATTCTGCAGCGTTTTTCGGCAAGAGTAAAACAATTTTCACCCACATTAAATTTTTTTTTTTTTTTCGCCAACAATTATTTGGTTTTTATTGGTACAACATCTACAGCAGGATGAGAAATTGCAATAACCTCGTTTGGTTCATTTTTATTTACCGCTCTCTGGCTTCACGGCTAGTTGAAGATTTTTTTGATATTACTTCCATTTTAAATGTTTGGTTTGATTTTTAGTACTATTTGCGTTAAACCTAATGTGATAGCATGAAATTCAAGGTATTGTTAATTTGATGATAAATTTTTTCTGCAGTGCTTTGATCGTTTTTTTTTATTGTTACGCAAATGTATTGTATGTACCGCATTTACACATAAAACTGTTCGTTTTTTACCATTAAAATTTGGAAAAATAATAAAAGAATGTGTTAATAACGAATTTGTTATATACATCATTTGAATGCTTTTCTTTTTATCCTTTTTTTCTATGTATGCTATATATATGTATATTGTTCATTATTCTACATAAACGCGCAATTATACGTTATTTACGTATGCATTTAAGCACGGATATTGTATGCGTGAGTATGAGTACATGATTTCAAAATCGTTCGAGCTGGTCCGATTTTTCTATTCATTTGTAAAATAATCTTTAATACGACGTATAGGTTAATATTTTTCAACATTTCATACAGAGACTCGAATTCCTTATTTTAGAACTTATCGCTCGTCTGGCATTATGTATTAAATTTGCTAAGTTGCTCACTTAACTGTCAGTCTCACGTATGTATACATTTAATTTTTGTTAAAGTATCGGCAGTTTTTCTCTGTACCATACATTTTAGTACTGTATTCAATAATTTTTCGGTTAATATTTTTACTACTTTATTTTTGTCTTATCAATTTTTTTTTGCTTTGTTTTTATTATTAATATTCAAAAATCTGCGACGCACATACTAATAACACTACTGTGTCTAACAAACTTACTAAGTCATTTACCGGTCATCTCTGATACTTATGTATTATGGTTACAGTAATTTATTTTCTAGGCCTCGTTGTGGGACCTAAAAACGTTTACGCATCACCATTGGTTAAAAAAATATTTTAATTGTACAAGTTGAGGATTGCAACAAATTTTTGCTTTTTTATCTCAAGTCCGTACTTATTAGTAATATGAATCAATTTTAAAAAACATGTTGAGACGGGTGCTGACGATTAAAAAAAAAAAAAAAAAAAAAAAAAAAAAAAATCATGAATTTTTTTACTTGACCCATTTTATAGTTTATTATTTTCTATCCAGAAACATCATTAACTTATAAATCTTATGAAATATTAATTTGCTCTGTATACGTAACATGCAAAATAAACTTAACTATTTGTGGAATATTGTATCTGTAATTTTTTTTGGTTACGTTTAGGTTATTTAATTTTGAACAAATTTGAAAAATAAAGATATTAGATTTGTCAATTTACCTAGCTCGGAGTGATCCCAAAATTTATATTCAATTTAATACGTTCAATACATATATTATATACATTTTGGGAGCGCTCTGAGTGCTTTAAGGTGAATAAACGTATCTATTGATTTATAACTACATGACACGAGTTATTTTTTGAATAGTGGGTATTATGCAATTATTTAATTGCAAGTCATTGACCCGATAGTTTAAATGTCTTAGAAAAGAATATAGTATAACAATGTTGTCACATAATTTTATACAAGTGTCTTATGGATCCAAGGCATTGGTGTATCGTCAGTAATTACTTTTATTACATAGTTTACATATCATAATTGCAGTGGCTGCCCAAATACATAGACTGTGTTTGAACGATAGTAACGTATGTTGATAAAATGCAAATAAGAATTTTACAAACACATCTTTGTACACTTCAATCGACGAGTGTACTATCGCACAAATTATATTAATAGTAATAATAATCATAATAATAAAAATAATTATAGAAAAACAAAATAAAGAAAATCGGCAAGATTTTTTCTGTTTAATCAGTGCCGCTTACAATCTTTTGCCATAAAAAAGTAAACTAAGATATACAACTATCAAAGTATTAACAACTCAAATTTTAAATATTGTAAGATATAAATATATTATTTGTTTGGCGCTCTTTCAGGGGCAACATAGTACTCGGCATTCTTAATTTCTCAATGATGTATAGTCTTTTGCGTAAAGTGATTATATGAAATGAAGTAGATACATTGCTATTCTCATACGGCACATAAGATCGAATAAAAAAGAGCAAAATCTTTTTAAAAACTTTTATTTGCACAAATTAAAATTTTTTTCTTTTTTATCCACTAAAAAATGTATTGTCAAAATTA